GACAGTGTGCATAGAATATATATAACAATCTTTATCTAACTGTAGTGGCTTTACGGTGATTAATTTGTCTAAATTGAATTCATGAATATTTAATCAAGGCTTACTGATGACATTTGTGATCTATGCTATTCATATGCAGATTGTCACCCAAGTTTTATGAATAAAGAAATCTACACACAGACTTGTGTAATTTCATGTATCTAACTTTACTTATAATATGAGATCCTGACAAAAATACTAAAAAGTATGCTGTAAGCAGTATGGAGAGTGTATTGATCAACACTGTAATCCCCGAGTGCATACTTTGAGGTATTATCGAGACAACCTCATTATTATACATCTTTTTCCCAGCTTGTAATAATAATTTAATGAGATAGAAGCCAAAACTGGCAACAATAAATGCTTTACGCTATATGGACGTTTGCATTCATTCATTGATGGAATTGTATTTCTGTCACAAGCTACATCACTTCTGGGTTAAATCTAAACAAAGAAAAGTGTTCAAATGTGGCCTGGAGAGTGTTTACTCCATACAAGAAAAAAAAATGAGTGTTGCAACGAGGGCAAATGTCTTGGAACTAATGCAGATATGGGTTTTTTTGGAATGATAAATGTTATTGTTTTTGGTGCTAGATATATAATAAAGTGTAATATTCAAAAATTATAAATTGTTATAAATGTGAGTATTTTATAAAATAACCTGTGATTAAATTAGTATGCAGACATGGACATTGGACCAGCTGTCTACATACACACAGACAACATCAGCATAACAAGTGCCTCAACAGATTATAATTATAAACCAAATAATCTTGTTAAGTATGCGGCTGTGCTCCATCTAGACAATGTCCTGGTATGCAGATGATGGGTGCAGATTCATGGTGACTACCAAAAGTATAAACCATTTTTCACAGATTTTATGACATTTGTGAAATTTCCCAAAGGCTGCTGACACTTGTGTGTTGTAGAACCCTAGAGAAATTATCACTGCTATAAAATATCACGATATCTGTGCAAGTTTTTCACCAAAATATTCAGGGAAGGAGGTTATTTAGGATATGAACAGCCAATCAAATAAGCTGCCTACTGTCTATTTCAGGAAACATAAATCATAGAAATCCCTTGATTCATTTTATACATTTGACAATTATTACCAGTATGCTTTTTGATGCTTACCTGATCAACCCGAGTTGCCATTTCTTTTTGTAATTTTGACAATGCCTTTTTTGCTGCCACATCATGTGACATTAGCTTCTCTCTGCTTTGAGATACTTCTCTTTTTTGATATTCAACAGCTGCTTGGAGCTATGTGTAAAAAAAAAAAAAAAAAGAAGAGAAAACCCATTTATCAATGTCACCATGTAGAGTTAATAAATTATTCAAAGCTGAAAATACTATGGTAAAATGTGAAAACAACAGCAACCAAGAAGTGTCCTTCCCAACACAATAAAATATTCACACTTCAGTGATTATTTATGGGGAAAAGAAAAAAAGTTGATTACATTATTAGAACAATGCAAAATTATGATTTAATAGTTTAATTAGGACGATCTCACTTTATATTTTAAATTAATGGACTTAAAATAAATAGCTTTTAATTTTCCACTCGTAGAACAAATCAATCTAGATCTACATGTATATTATATTCTCTTGAAAACAAATACCACAATTAGAAGTGCATAAAAGACAAACATGGGGCCCAGGGGCACCGAAGTCCTTTGGAATTAAGTAGAACTTGGGAAGCAGACATACATGATTTTAACTGCTACTGTTCAAGATTCTGACTATTAATATGTTCAAAATTCAGCAAGTAATCTTCAGATGAATGCAAAGAATCATCTTTGTTACCCAGTATACGTA